AGGCGAAAAACCTGAACACACATTCAGGAAAAAACCAGAACACACAGGCATGAAGAAGTCATGGCTCAACCTGCTTGTGTGGATACACGCAAAGGGGACAAGCAGCTCCTTGAGAAATCTGGACTTGTCCCCTTTTATTTACAGAAAAACGATTACAGAATCGTTCCAGGCTACCTGCGTAGAAGAAAGGCAGAGAAAGAAAAGGCTAAGCAGGACAATGATGCCTGGTTAACAAAACAACAGGAAACAGTTAAACCACTGGCCGAACAGGAGAAACAAAACATTCTCCAGGGCCTAAAGAGGAGGTTTAATGAGCTAAACTTTGAATATCAATCCCTCCCTTTTACTATCTCCCTTCACAGCACAAAAAATACAATTACAAAATGTTTCTCGAAGAGGCAATGAGTCAAGTTGAAAAAGACATTGCCCTTTTTGAGGAACATAAATACATTTACGTAGGCAGGGAAGATGCATCTGACGAACAACAGTTACAGCGGACTCCACTGCCACCCATTAGACCGAAAAAGACAAAGTTGACACCCGCTCCTCAAGTCACACAACCAACGAAAAAGGAAACTTTCTCGACCGACAACCTACCACCTTTTCGTAGGATGTGTGTTCCACCTATATCCAGAAGTGGAAAGCAACCTATTCCCATGACTGAGAACCTTCACAGACAACCTATTCCCACCCAACTAGTTATAATTCCACGACCTAGTCCTGTCCCTCTGCCACCTATTTGTAAAAAAGCTGAATCTACACCCCGACCACCTGTAAGACCTCCAATGAAACGAGGTGTAACACCCATCCTTCCACCCATTTCCACCAAAAAGCTGTAGTGCTGTACCGTTAGAGTAGTTTTTTAACTACCTAACCCCCAACCGGTCTTGACAGAAGCCGCACCATCTGAGCCTGGTTCTGTCGAAGGTTTCTTCTTTTTAAGACAAAGGAGTTTTCCTTCCCACCGTCGCCCAGTGCTTGCTCAGATGAGATCATTTGATTGTTGGGGTTTTCTTAAACATAAATTGGCCTATTGAAAAAATGTAGTGGTTCTTACTACATTTTATTTTCAATAGACCAATTTATGTTCAAAAAAAAAAAATTACAGCAGAAAAGAAAGCATGGGAGACATCTGATGCATTTCATTGCTTTTTAAAAAATAATTTATAATTTATCTGGAACAAATAAAAGAAAGTAAAAATAATCTTTTGTGGATTCTTTTTCTTCAATAAGTAGTAGAATAGGCAGTTCTTTATACATAAAGCGTAGTGTTTTGTTAAAAAATAAAGTGGCACAGCGGCACTGTGTTAAAGGCCTGTGTTTTACCATCAGCGTGACAGCACCGTGCCGCCTTTGCAGTTTTAAGGCCCAGGGAAACAAGCCTGCCAGCGCTCTGTAGCGGCTGTGACCGCTGCCGATAAGGAAAGGCTGCTCTTCATAGAGGACTCAAGCTCGGGGAAACGTTTCTGGTCGACTCTGGCTCCCAGAAGAGCCTCTGAACTCTTGTGTCGTCTTTACAATGGTATATTATTTAATCTCAAAAAAAACAAAATAAAAAAAAATTGGAGATTTCCCGTATCACATAACATGTGCAGGTACACTGGTACAGCACATGTGAGCGAAATTCTTATGTGTGTGCAACAGAGGTGTGCAAAATACAATAACATAAGAACAAGCAAAATATACGAATGGGTAAATCTGAGAATTATAAGAATAAATATATGTACAAATATAAGAGTGTATGTTAGGGCTGTTCGATATAATGATATATATCAAATGACATATAAAAATGTCTATCGTTTCCTATTACGCTATCGTTTGTTTCGTGATGTCGTAAATAAACTGTTTACAGCAGTATTTTTCATCGTTTTGACGGTCACCTTAGTGGCTATATTAATTTCTTAAAGTTCTCTCTTTCTCTTATATTTAATATAACCACACTATGGGCGGGCAAGTGCCTGTTTTTACGTGTTTTCGTTAGCAACAATGACGGTAAAACCATCGCGTGGTTCCGCTGTACGCTTGTTTGTTTTCCACGTAAACCTTTCACAATAAAGCTCAAGATCCTGTTGAGACTTTTCAAAACAAACTGAATCACATGAGAGAGTATGCAGAGTTTACAGATGAGAAGCAAACAAAGAGCCGTCAGACTCAAACTATATGTATACACCTGCCCGCCTTCGTAAACAACTAAATGCTATGTTGCCCTATCATTTTTTGATTGGTCCACATGGTATATTTTTTCACCAATAGGAAAGGCTGGGGGAGTTGGGAGGGGACTGAGTGCTTTCTAGTGTTTTTCCTTATAAAAACCGTTTCTTCCCGCAGTAAATATAAACAACGATAGTATTCAGGAAGAAAACCTGCATATATTATACTGAACATAAAGTTGTTTGCAAAACTTGTGCATAATTTTTACAAATGTACAACTTCTATTCGCATTTCAAGTTATGAAAACAATTCCTTAAACATGTTTGTGGCTTTTACAGTAAAAATGACAAGTATTTTCTACTCGGATTTTGAATTTTTTTTGTCTGAATTTAGATCTATTGTGCAAATATAGTATAAATGAAAAATTAACTCAAATTTCAGATATTTGAGGTTGTGCCAAAAAAAAAAAGAAGAAGATTTTTTTAAAGGTGAAATATAGAGGTAAAATCTAAAGTAGTCAAAAACGGCCAATTATACTCTGGACCCCAGAGGGTTACTAAATACATTTACATGTCTTGGTGACTGCAGCTGGAACCTTGGCAAAAAGTGTATGTGTGTGGTGGAATGCTAGCTACCAGCATTCATAATATAATAGTTACAATAGCAACAGTAACCAGGGGGGTGGGGCTTAAATGACAGAACAAAGACAGGCTACTATGATGTCACATGCCAGGCCACCATGATGTCACATGCCAGGCCATAAAAATCTATAAATAGGGGTGCCTCGACACACAGTTGTAGAATTCCCTTGCAGGTGAATTTAAGCTAGCGATTGAATTGTGTTTTCAGATGAAAGCGCTTATAACCTTCTCCCAAAGTAGAGTACTCTTCCTCCACCCAAACCTAAAATGTATATTTCTAAATACAGGGAAGCAATTGTATTAGAAAATAAATATAAAAATGAACACAGGACCATGGTGCCAAGAACAGTTAAGGCCCCATCTCATCGCGAAATGTGCCCACAGAGGCCAGAAGGCGAAAAACCTGAACACACATTCAGGAAAAAACCAGAACACACAGGCATGAAGAAAGTCATGGCTCAACCTGCTTGTGTGGATACACGCAAAGGGGACAAGCAGCTCCTTGAGAAATCTGGACTTGTCCCCTTTTATTTACAGAAAAACGATTACAGAATCGTTCCAGGCTACCTGCGTAGAAGAAAGGCAGAGAAAGAAAAGGCTAAGCAGGACAATGATGCCTGGTTAACAAAACAACAGGAAACAGTTAAACCACTGGCCGAACAGGAGAAACAAAACATTCTCCAGGGCCTAAAGAGGAGGTTTAATGAGCTAAACTTTGAATATCAATCCCTCCCTTTTACTATCTCCCCTTCACAGCACAAAAAATACAATTACAAAATGTTTCTCGAAGAGGCAATGAGTCAAGTTGAAAAAGACATTGCCCTTTTTGAGGAACATAAATACATTTACGTAGGCAGGGAAGATGCATCTGACGAACAACAGTTACAGCGGACTCCACTGCCACCCATTAGACCGAAAAAGACAAAGTTGACACCCGCTCCTCAAGTCACACAACCAACGAAAAAGGAAACTTTCTCGACCGACAACCTACCACCTTTTCGTAGGATGTGTGTTCCACCTATATCCAGAAGTGGAAAGCAACCTATTCCCATGACTGAGAACCTTCACAGACAACCTATTCCCACCCAACTAGTTATAATTCCACGACCTAGTCCTGTCCCTCTGCCACCTATTTGTAAAAAAGCTGAATCTACACCCCGACCACCTGTAAGACCTCCAATGAAACGAGGTGTAACACCCATCCTTCCACCCATTTCCACCAAAAAGCTGTAGTGCTGTACCGTTAGAGTAGTTTTTTAACTACCTAACCCCCAACCGGTCTTGACAGAAGCCGCACCATCTGAGCCTGGTTCTGTCGAAGGTTTCTTCTTTTTAAGACAAAGGAGTTTTTCCTTCCCACCGTCGCCCAGTGCTTGCTCAGATGAGATCATTTGATTGTTGGGGTTTTCTTAAACATAAATTGGCCTATTGAAAAAATGTAGTGGTTCTTACTACATTTTATTTTCAATAGACCAATTTATGTTCAAAAAAAAAAAATTACAGCAGAAAAGAAAGCATGGGAGACATCTGATGCATTTCATTGCTTTTTAAAAAATAATTTATAATTTATCTGGAACAAATAAAAGAAAGTAAAAATAATCTTTTGTGGATTCTTTTTCTTCAATAAGTAGTAGAATAGGCAGTTCTTTATACATAAAGCGTAGTGTTTTGTTAAAAAATAAAGTGGCACAGCGGCACTGTGTTAAAGGCCTGTGTTTTTACCATCAGCGTGACAGCACCGTGCCGCCTTTGCAGTTTTAAGGCCCAGGGAAACAAGCCTGCCAGCGCTCTGTAGCGGCTGTGACCGCTGCCGATAAGGAAAGGCTGCTCTTCATAGAGGACTCAAGCTCGGGGAAACGTTTTCTGGTCGACTCTGGCTCCCAGAAGAGCCTCTGGAACTCTTGTGTCGTCTTTACAATGGTATATTATTTAATCTCAAAAAAAACAAAATAAAATAAAATTGGAGATTTCCCGTATCACATAACATGTGCAGGTACACTGGTACAGCACATGTGAGCGAAATTCTTATGTGTGTGCAACAGAGGTGTGCAAAATACAATAACATAAGAACAAGCAAAATATACGAATGGGTAAATCTGAGAATTATAAGAATAAATATATGTACAAATATAAGAGTGTATGTTAGGGCTGTTCGATATAACGATATATATCAAATGACGATATAATATTTTTGTTGGAAGGATACAAGTTCTTCCTGTTCTTCTTGTTACTGATAACCTGACCGCTGTCTGTTTTGATCTTCTTCTTCTGGTCTTCTTTTCCCGTTTCTCTCACAAAACGCTTCCTCTTACGGTCCCTAAAAAAAGAAGGGGGAAAAAAGACTTTAAATTATAGTTTGAAATGACCATTTGGTGGATACTGAGTCAAACATAGGGAAATTTGTACCATTTCATCATTTTCTTCTGCTGGTTAAGGCGATCGCCTTCATCTCCCATGAGATCAAGGACAGCTGAAGAGGCCTGCTGTTCAAAAGCACTGCCCTCTCCACCGAGACTCAACCTGTCGACGCATAACACAGGACAAAACAGCATAAAACACAAAGCCATTCACATTTTTTAAAGAAACAGATGCAACAGTTTAATGCCTCACCCTCTCTCAGAGTCAAAGTCTTTAGGTCTGTAAGGGATATAATACTGTTCATCTTTGCCTGACTGCCTCTTTTTCTTGGTCTTTGGTCACTCTTCGCCATCTTCCTGCTGACCTCTTCTTTTACCACCTACCACTTCTGAAAACACCCCCTGGTGGAAATAGAAAGAATTACATGGTACAAAGTGACAAAGCATGATACAGAGATCCTACTATCTTCCTCTTCTAGTTTGTATACAACATCATCTACATCAAAACTGCACTTTATTTTGCTTCTTCTTCATCAGACAGCACAAACAACTTTCTCATTTTGACTCAAATATTGGTTTTGAATGAAAATGATGAAACAATCCTGGGTGTTTATTCAACTTGTGAGCAGGTTTTCTAATCCACCGTACTATTATTATTGACACTAGTACATGTTCGTGCTGCTGGCAAACTAATACACTCAAGAACATATAGCAAAGCAAAAAAGTGAAAAGTAGGTCTTGCCTACATAAATAAACATAAGACAGTTGTGAAACTTTGACATAGTAACATCTGCAGTAATATTTACACCTGTGATGACATCTCACCAGCATTAACCTTATTTTGAAACCAAGATTGTTTACACAGAGTTTGTAATTGCAGAGAAATGCTCCATTTATTTTGGTCATTTCATTTTTGAGCAGGAAGCTCACCTTTCTTGTTATAGCCTTTAGACGAATAGAGAGTTTTCCAATTAAATACATATTCTTTAAATAATGTTCCCTCTTATAAAAAGTAGGATAATTTAAAAAAAAATTTTAAAAAATGTATTATACCTCTATTACTTAGAAAAAAAACTTTTTTTTTCTGTTGTCTGTTATATAACGTTAGTGATGCTCGTTTCAATTCATTTCTTAATCAGCTAAACAGGTCAGTTAAGAAACAGTCAAATATTAAGTTAAATTTGAAAACAGTTTAAAAAAAAATATCCCCATTCCAAAATGTCACATGACAATCTCATTGGCTCACGGAGTTATGATGTCACTACACGATCCTTTGAAGTTTTTCCTTAAACAGGGGTGACACACAGCAGTTTTTTAGTTCGTGTCTTCGCAGCATTTGTGTTTGCAGCCTTCACACGTTCACCACAGAAACTTTTGGAAACCTTTTCAGAGTTGTCGTGTACAACCTTCAACATGTATCCAACAAGACACCAACCAAGGCAAAAAGATTACGCCGCTTCTCCTTCCTGTCGTGGCCGGCCAATTTCCCCAAATGACCTCTTAGCCGTCCAAAGGGCATTACATGACAGTAAGAAGGAAAACTACCATCTCCAGAATAAAATTCAACAGATTGAAGAAGAGAAACTTCAACTGGAGGAGAAGTGTAGACAGATGGAAGCGCAAAATAAGAACCTGGAAGAAAGACAAAAACGCCAGCCCGACATAAATATTATTAATGAGGGTTGGGGAATCAAGTTTGGACAAGCCCGAGAGCAGATTGTCTTCCTAATTAAGGAAAACAAGCAAAAGAGCGTGGAACTAAAGGAGATGTCCAACCAGCTTAAAGACAGCAAAGCTACTGTTGAGAAGACAGAATGGGATCTCCAATATATGGACCAAATGAATCGGCTGCTCCAAACAAACTTCGATGAAGCTGTGAAAAAAAATGAAGAAATCCTCCAACAGAAGGAAGAACAGGAGAAAAAGCAAAGAGACATGGAGCACAAACTCAAAGTCACGGAGGAAAAATACAGAATGCTGAAAGAGAAGGTGGATGATACTCTGCGCCAAAATAAAGACCTTCTTCACGAGAAAAAGCAACTAGAAGGGGAAAAAGAAAAACTGACAAACAATGCTCGCACATGCAGAAAAGGATGGAGCAAATGGCGAGAAACAACTCCGAGCTCACTAAGGGGATATTGTTGGAATACAACAACTTGAAGCGCAAACACACTGAAATGCAGGCGCAAAAGCAAGAACAAGACAACATACATGACGACCTGCAGCGTACGCTCCAAGATATCCACAAAAGAAATGAGGAGCTACAAGACATGTACAAAGAAGTACAACAAAGAAACGCAGACATGCACAAGGACAAGATAATGCAGGAGGAAACATCCAAAGAGCTCAGGGAAAAGCTTGAAGAAAAACAAGCAACGTTGGAAGAGGTGGAGAAAACGTGCAAGAAGCTTGAGAAACAAAACAAAGAAACCATCGATGAGTTGAGAACCCTCATCCTGGAAAAAAAAGCTCTTGTAGAAAACTGCATGAAAAAGAAGAACAAACGCTTCCGCTGGCCCTGGAGGAGGAACTCTACTGCTTCCTCAGCAGGTGTAGCCTCGTCTTGCTCCACCTCTGTTCACCTCCCCAACCAGTCCCGGCAGTTGACTGTCCCCTCCTGAGCCTGGTTCTGCCGGAGGTTTCTGCCCGTTTAAAGGCAGTTTTTCCTCCCCACTGTCGCCTAGTGCGTGCTCAGAGGGGATTGTTGGGGATTTCTCTCCTCTACCTTGTTTCATTATTTACTTAACGTTTTGTTCTTACTTCATTTTACCTTGTTTCATTATTTACTTAACTTTTTGTTCTTACTTCATTTTACCTTGTTTCATTATTTACTTAACGTTTTGTTCTTACTTCATTTTACCTTGTTTCATTATTTACTTGTTTACGTTTTGTTCTTACTTCATTTTACCTTGTTTCATTATTTACTTAACGTTTTGTTCTTACTTCATTTTACCTTGTTTCATTATTTACTTGTTGACGTTTTGTTCTTACTTCATTTTACCTTGTTTCATTATTTACTTGTTTAACTTTTTCTTTTTCAACTTATTCATAAAACAATAAACCAATTGAATTTATCCTTTGAGTATTTTTCATCTTTTCATCTATAACTTTTTCAAACATTCATATCTGTCGTTTATCTTCTTCTTGAAACCTCATAAATGGCAAAGGAAAAATCCTGGAACATGGTTTGAAACACTGAAATTGTTTCAGCTGAAACCGGCAAAGTCATACGTGTGTGTGTGTGTGTGTGTGTGTGTGTGTGTGTGTGTGTGTGTGTGTGTGTGTGTGTGTGTGTGTGTGTTACTCTGTACATGAAACAACTTTGTAGAAAACCATTTTCCTGTCGAAACATTAGCAAACACAAACAAAGTGTTATTAACAAACGAATTACTAATATCCCTCTCTATGATAGTGATTTATTTTTTACGGGATTAAAACTGTAAATTTTACCAAACTAAAGAAAGTAATACAAAGTAATAAAACTTTTTATCATTTAGTTAAGATCCAACATCCATTCTTTTCATAGTTGGTTGCTACCACCAGAGGGCGACATGGAGTACTTTTACCCATGTAGAGAAACATAAACGCTCATATATTACACACGCACCAACATTTTACTGTCTATTACTACATCAGTCTGTTTACATTAAACTGATATTGATAAATAAACTCACAAATATAGCTTCATGAATTTGGTAACGTCCTGTAAGTCATATCGTCAAATGCTTTTGTTCCAAAATAAAAAGGCTGTTGAAATAATGATTGGTGTGGTTTTTACAGGTGAATGAGCAGCAGAATAACTACAGAGAATCTGTGAATACATGAATGACCTTTTGTAATATGCCTTTAGCCTATTAGTGCCCTGAAAGAGTGGAGATTTTACCTATTTTAGCAAAATGATCTACAAACTGTATGGGTGAATATAGGAGCTTGTTAACAGGTTAGCATGTCCAACTAACAGACAGGAAAATGAGCTATGTATTTTTTAGATATCATGTTATCAGCTGACCACTGAAAGCTCTTTCTGCATATATCTTCTACACGTTCTGTCTCTTGTCACGTGTGTGTTTATATTTAAATCATGTATGTTGATTATTTAAATATGCTTTTTCATTCATTTTTAAAAAATGTCAACAGCTGTGGTTTACAGATTCATTGTTTACTATATGCTATATATATATATGAACATGAACAAAACTGAAAACACTGGGTCACCGACCCAGGAACCCTGACAATATGTATTTTACCTGGTTAATGTGTGTGGCGGGGCGTGGTCTGCAGCGCCGCTGCAGGGGAGGCGGACGCACCTGAGCGCACCCGCGATCACGCCTCGGCGCCTTAACGTCTGTGCTCTCTATGCTGTTGTGTTGGTATGTGTCGGGCTGTGAGCTTTAACACCGGCTGTATGCATACAGCAACCGTGTGTGAAAAGTGGTCAATAAAGAGAAGCTGTAAAGCGTGTTCATGGAAACATCGTTGGGTCTGCCGTGATATGTTTACAATGGGACTTCTGCTCCTGAATCTCTGCGCACAGCGTCTGCAAATCGGAGCTGTATGAAGTCACTTTCATCTTTATGCAGGACTGTAAGCTGTCATCTGTGAGGCGTGAGCGGTGTTTGTTTTTAACATAGTTCACGGTGCAAGAAGCTTGAGAAACAAAACAAAGAAACCATCGATGAGTTGAGAACCCTCATCCTGGAAAAAAAAGCTCTTGTAGAAAACTGCATGAAAAAGAAGAACAAACGCTTCCGCTGGCCCTGGAGGAGGAACTCTACTGCTTCCTCAGCAGGTGTAGCCTCGTCTTGCTCCACCTCTGTTCACCTCCCCAACCAGTCCCGGCAGTTGACTGTCCCCTCCTGAGCCTGGTTCTGCCGGAGGTTTCTGCCCGTTTAAAGGCAGTTTTTCCTCCCCACTGTCGCCTAGTGCGTGCTCAGATGGGATTGTTGGGGTTTTCTCTCCTCTACCTTGTTTCATTATTTACTTAACTTTTTGTGCTTACTTCATTTTACCTTGTTTCATTATTTACTTAACTTTTTGTGCTTGCTTCATTTTACCTTGTTTCATTATTTACTTGTTGAGGTTTTGTTCTTACTTCATTTTACCTTGTTTCATTATTTACTTGTTAACGTTTTGTTCTTACTTCGTTTACCTTGTTTCATTATTTACTTGCCAGCCCCACCTGCCAGCCCCACCTCCAAGCCCTGAAAACACATTTAGATCATAATCCAACATCACTGCATGAGTCTCTCTGATCCTACATCTGTTAATTTGCAAAAAAAAAAAAAATGGTATCATCTC